AAATTCGTTGACGAAAATTATGAATTTGTTCAGAAGTGTGCAAACACACTGGCAGCTGGCAACATTTCGCCGCTTTCAGCAGCGTCGATAACTCGTGTATGTATCTCGCCTTGACGTCGCCAGTTATGGACGGATGGTAAGTAAAATGGGTAGTTGTAACATTAGTTGGCGTTAAGATGACTACGGTGCTAGCGCCTTCAGCTTTGTTGTACAACCATTCACTTAACTGCTTGGTTATTTGGCTGCTTGTCTACTAGCTCTTTATCCATCAATGGATTAAGTAAACACGCGGACATATGGCACCCTTCCATGGTAGTGCAAATATTACGCACACAAAGCGCGAAGTCGATTAGAGCTTCTAGTTTATCTTAAACCGGTGGAAGAGCACGTGTTCGATTTACTGACCGCTCGAGAATATATTCCGGTCTACCAAAACACATCTTAAGAGTTTTAATGATTTCAGGTACCATGGATGGCATGAATAGTTTACTTTTTACCATCTCACGTGCTTTACCTTTAAGGCACGCTTTTAATCGTTTCAAATTCTCGGCATAAGTGTAGCCAGCAACAGCAGTACTGTTTTCGAAGCTGTTGGTGAAAAGCGGCGATTCGTCTGGATCTGCATTAAAAATTGGGAGCTGTTTAGGAATGACCAACTGCGCTGGTGAGGGGTTATTATTACCCACAAAAAAAATAAATTGTTGCTGTATTCGCATTTCCTCCTCCAATCGTTCCAACTGTAGCTTTTGGTACACTGCCTGGTTACGCGGCCTATGCGCTAAATGGACTATTGTTGTACCTTGTTCATCATGTGCATTTGAGCTAGGAGCCATGGTATTCCCGGAGGGTGTAGCAACATTATCAGGCAGGAATTGCGTTGGCGATACCATTGCCGGGGGTGTTGAATAACGCCCTGTTGCCATCGTGGGTAATTGACGGTTTTGCGATAGAGAAAACGTTAATGTTGGCTCGGAAACCCAGCATGCAGGTGCCATCTTTGGTTGTGATGATTTGGCGGCGGTGGCACCTTGTTTAGCGGCTGGTGACGAGGATGCTGTCGGTTGCGCGTTTGCAGTTGACTCGATGTGATTACAAATTTCGCAGCACCAGCTTTTATCAGCCACATTGCTGTTCACTCCAACCCACTCGTCGTTGTCTATTTCTCCGCACCTAGCGCAGCTATAATCAGCATTTTTATTGCTCGTATTGTGCGAGTAAGTCGATCCAATTTCTAAAGTTCATTTACGAAAACAAAATTAAGTTGAATTTAATTGTTTAGAATGCAGAACAATATAATTTTAAATATTTTTATTCTGCTCCCACTTGAAAGTAGAATGTAGAAAATGATCAAATACATACTAAAATTTAAATATTTCCATTTATTTAATATCAGCTAAGTGCACAAATTGATTACCAACACATGTGGCTATACAAAAATAAAAAATGTAAATTGATAAATCAGCCAAGACATTTTGTAGATTTGAGACAATATCTAATGCATGCACAATTTCCTGAGATCTAATCCCAAAAATAACCAACATATTAATTAAAGGGCTACGCTGATTTTGCTGACGGAAAATTGTGAGATCTGATATAATCACCAAGGCAACTGGTATAACCGCGAAGAATTTCGTACCTGCACTTGTGTTTAGCAATACAGATGCTACATAAGCTACTGTAACAGCCAATATAACATGCAGTTTGAATTTAATAAAAGTATTTTCTTTTTCGCGAGTATCTTGCCGGTTTAAACTGCTTTCAAACCCTTTCAAAAAGTTTTCATCAAACTGTTGAAAAGGCATATGCTGGGGTTCTGGAATATTAGGTTCAACTTCTGGATCTGAATATTCAATATCTTGTTGTAGTTGATGATCTAATAGTAAAAAATTTTAGTTTATTGGCAAACCAAAAAAAAAAACACAGCCTTACTAGAACACTCCTTCAAAATTTCAGTATCACCCTCTCCACTTTGTCGCATATTCAATTTTTCTAGCCTATTCTTGGCATTCTCGAGGATCTTCCGCCTTCGCGCTTCTCTCCGGAGTTTAAGCTTTTGCTGAGATTCTTCAGAGCCATGCGTTTCTTGAACCTCCATATTTTCTGCACAATTTTTAAAATTACTTATAATGATAAATGATTAAACAACATACAACACTAAGCTATATTGCTATCACGTGCAGTGAAACACAGTGCGTCAAATATTGATAAAAATATGTGCTATAAAATAACTTAACAGAAGGGTCACACGCGCTAAATTGAAATCTATCTATAACAAAGCTATGTGAATTCAAATGCGGTACGAATTTTTCAGCAAAACAAGGCAAGAACTTAAGCCAACTTTTAAATACAGCTAGCGGTATTCAGATCATTTTATATTAGGTTAAAATAAACAATATAGCTATTCTAACCGAACTTGTAAATCTCGTATTAATATTGTTTTTACTTCGTTAAAACACTTAACTGTGAACAAGCTTTTTGCTCTATCTAGGTAGGGTGGTAAATTATGTTCCAAAACAATTTTATTAAAAGTGAGAATGTCTCGAGAAATGAGAAAATCGAAAAATTGACAAAAATTTAATTGATTTCACAATATGGCAAATGAAATGTTTAGTCAACAGAGCTAATTTGAATATAACCAAGATAGAACGATAATCTGTTAGTTTTCAAAGAAAAAAATAGACGTCAAAAATTACCAAACTACGCCTAAAAAATTAACAAAGCCGGTCTGAATGCACCTAATAATAAACTAGTTCTGTTAGTTTTTTTCGTGCAATATCTTGACATGGAATTTCGAATTATTTTAAAGAAATTTAAAAATCAAAATTTAGACATATTTGATTTTATTCTATTTTAAGTTGTAGTACATATTGCAACGAGCTAAAGTGAGAAGGCAAATTCCATGCGGTTGGGCCTTGAATTTGGGACCCACCACATGAAAAATGACTACCACCGTCCCAGAAATGAGATGGACGGAAGAATTTTAAATTTACTATTATATAAGGGAACTTATGAGCGTAGCCCCCGCTAGGGTGGGCAAACAGTTATTTTTGGGACAACAGTCAGAAATTCAGCCTCCCCGTCGACACATCCCCAAATGGACTGATGCCAATCGACTTCGCCGGGGAAAGAAATATGGTTGTTTCTAGTACTAGATTCCAGCAATTGGCTGCCTCCAGATCGAAAATCTTTCAACCAGATCGGTAGTGTTGTGATAGACGGAAGACATATATCCAGTGTTTTAGATGTAGGCATGTTCCGAGGTCCTAACATCGACTCTTATCACTATCTTGTAGCAGTGAAGATACGCACCCGCCTCGGTGTATCGAAGAACGCCCGTCAAACACAAGCTCCCTACGAAGAACTGCAAACGAAACTATTGGATTACGCAAAGGTCACAAAAACAGCCGACAAGGGTAATGCTCGAAATTTCTACGAAAAAATAACTCTTGTAAGACCCAGAGGAGTGAGTTAGTGAAGGATGACCAGAGTATATGGAATATTTAGAGGGAACACTTCTCCAGCCTACTGAATGGCAGTGAAAATGAAATGGAAATCTCAATCCATGACGATGGAAAAGACGATTGGAATTTACAAATGTGTGCTCTGCCCGAATCTTAGAAAAGGGACACCATAACTTGCGCTAAGCGCCGTCGGGAAGCCTCCTTAATTTCGCATATAAGGTGCTGTCGAGCATATTGTATGAACGACAACGTCACTTTTAAAGCCACTTTCGACAGCACGATTAGGAACTGCCTTTACGACACTATGTCTGAATTTGGTATCCCCTCAAAACTTATACGGCTATATAATTTGACCTGAAGCAAAACTAAAAGCTCCGTCAGGAGCTTATTTTTAATTAGTTACAAAATAAAAATTCGCTTTACTATACACGAAGATTTATTTTGCAACTCTAGCATTGTTAGATTGTTAGGTTTTCACTTTTCGCTGATATTGTCCTCAATGATTCCACTTTGTAAGTGACTAATTGATGTGTTGGCCACTCTCTTATGTACTTTACCGATTGCCCAAGTTTAGCTTTGGAAATCTCGATGTTCTACACCCGCCCTCTAGAACATGCAATCCACTAATGCTATGATAGTAGTTCTGCTGTTTCTGCTTGGGTTACGCAGTAGTTACGCTCCGGCTTTCCAATACACCGTATATACCATGCAACTGTTTTCTCCTATCCATCAATTACCTGTGAAAGTACGCCTCCTACGGAACCGATCACTTGGAATCGATTATGCTGGCATAGAATTTTTTTTAGAATACCTCTTCTTTTTCCTTGCTCCACTCAAATTTTTCTTAGTGCCCTCATGGAACCAATTAGTGATGCGAGCGAAATTCTTAGCCAATTCTTAAATAACAAAAATTTTTAGTACTTAGTTTGAGACCGGAATCAGCTATCATTGGGCAAACTTCCCAAATTGCCCAAAGGTTCTTCAAATCTTTTACATAGTACGATGATACCATCCAGATGCACCAAGCTTGTTTTCCAATATAGTCCCTTAAGCACACTATTAATTTATCTTTAAAAGTAGCAGGAGCGTTGCATAATCCAACGGGATCGCTGTGAATCGCCTAAGACCGTCTCTAGTACTAAATGCTATCTTCTCTTTGTCTCCCTCGCTTAATTCCACTTGCAAATGACTGCTTTTAAGGGCGAGCCAACGAGTCCATCGTATCATCATTTGCCTTCCAACTCTTCCGTCCATGTATTTATGGCTTTCTACAGGCAGTTCTACGAGGATCCTATGCGTGGGAAATGCTTGCATTCATTTGTGAAATCCTGACATTCGCTTGTGACATTGCGGCCAATAGCATGACTGCTCTGAGTCCCTCACCGTTTTCCCAATAGTGTTACGATTTTGTTGAATTAACCTCGATGATTTTCTGAATCCTTCGGGTACGATCTCTTTATTGTTAAATAAAAAAATCGTCAACTTAATTTTCAGTTTCTTTCGTTATAGAAGAAGTTTTCTAATGTCCTTTATTTACTCCGTAATTCACAATTCAATTACAATGCACTTTACTATTTACCATCACTAGCATAAACTTTCACAATTTACTTTACTTAAATGTAATCTCCAACGCGTTTACTTAACGGACTCTATACTGATGTTGTCGCCAACGAGTTCACTTTGTAACTAACTTCACTTGGCAGCTGTGTGTCGCCTTTATATAGCAGTCGGCGCCTCGTAGACGAAAGAGTAGAAGCATCGAGTTATTCGCTATCGAAGGTTCTCGTTTTATCGTTCTAGAATGTACTAGTTATCGGTTTCTCTCTTTCATCTGACATTCGCTTCGCATTTTCGCAAAATTAAAATGGTGTCCATGGTAGCTGACATAGGCTTCTTCGTGCTTTCTGGGGTACAGGATTGACACATGAGTTCAGTCATAGCCCCAATAATGCCTCCAACAAATGGTGACAATGATGAAGAAAGTATTTCTTCTCGGAAATGGGAAATCTAATCTTGTTAAGCTATGAATAGAACGTACTACGGACATGGATATTCCCGATTTCTCTTCAACGGCACGTTGATAGCATCCAGTTGGGAAGTATCACATGGCGGTAATAACATTGAAAGTTATATAATTACCTGTTTCTCTGTAGTTATTGCTGCTGTATTTGTACCTTTTAGTTGATTGTTTAGTTGAGAAATGATTTCTTCAACTAAATCGGGCGTTAATTTATATAATTTTCGAAACTCAGTTGCCTTCAAGAGGAAAGGGTTTTCCACTTTCCGCAGCTTAGGTAATTTGCATATCTACTTGACTTTCCTTTATCCTTAATAAAATACTATTATTTTGTCTACTGAAAATTATTCGTCGCTTAGTTGGCGATTTGTTAAGAAGCTTACGACAACAGTAAATATCGTTAAAAAAAGTACACCTATTATTAAAATCGTTAAAATTATCGCTTGTTTGTCTTTCTCTGCTGAGTACGTACAAATTGAAAAAGGATGCAGTTGAACGAATTATCCGATTTTCTTTGTTCTTATTTTCGAGTAGAACGCCATTTTTATCGTTTCTGTGCAGCAGATAGAAGTGAGGACCCTATACAAGCTGTGCAAGCTACAGTGTACGGAAAATTCTGTTAATGGAGCGGGTTGAATAGAATGGGCGCTTCTCATCTTGCAGCAGCAGCACATCTCAAAAAAATTCAACAAAGTTTTGCGAGGTACAACTGCATTCAGATATTAATAACATTATGATTCGAAAATTATTTTTTAATTTTACTTAGATATCTTTATACTTCATAGGAGCCGCGATTACGACGAAGGCGTTCGTGGAATTGAAGAGCCGCGTCCCTATTAAAGACTTCTGTATGTGTATGTGTATGCAGTTTTCTTATAATATTTTGCTGATTTTCGACGAATTTCTTGTTGTATTGTTATTTCTGTTGTATGCTATGTAAACCATGTGCATGATTTATGATAAATATTGAAATAAAAACTGAATCTTAATAATGTTTGTATGTATGTGTATATGTAGAGAAATTTTTAGTCAAAACTGATTTTCTTTAACATAAGTGCTGCTGCTCATATGTGTTCGGCTTGTATGGATCTGATGCTGACGAGCTGACAGTACATGACGTCGTGCATTTCTAACAATGATCGAAAGCCTTCTTGCAGGGAATCTACCTTCCTTTTTTGTATCAGTGTTAGTAAAGAGTTATAGTAAACTGTGTGTTTACAATCACATTTCAGTGATTCATCTCGAAGGATTTAGGGAATCTTCATAGTTTCAATCGTTAAATAACAAAATTTGTATTTTTTGTGAAAAAAGAACCTTTTGCGCTCCCTGTTTTTCTAAAAATCTGCTATAATCATAAGACTACCCTGTTTTATTTCATTTTAGAAACGTTTTGGATTGTTAGTGCAATAAGTCAAATGACTTTTAAGTTTTACATTTTTGCTAACTAGAAATATAGAAATTTGCGAACAGTTTGCATTTAAGGAATTTAAATTAAAATGCCTTCTTATAAAGGTAAAATTGATTTATTTCTATCACTTCATTCATAATTTTATAATAAATTTAATTAGTCAAAGTAAAATGGGGACGGGAAGTCTTTCCGGATATTGAAGTGAACACCGATGAAGAACCATTATTATTTAAAGCTCAGTTATTTGCGTTAACAGGAGTGCATCCTGACCGTCAAAAAGTAATGTGTAAAGGTGGCATTCTGAAGGATGGGGAATGGAATCTTCAATTAAAGGATGTAAGGAGATTATATGTAACTTTTATAACTAAAACCTTAAATTTTTAATATAAATCTTAAAGGGGGCGACGGTTTTACTGTTAGGCACAAAAGAACAAGTTCCAGAAGAACCAGTAACTCCAGTAAAATTTATAGAAGATATGAATGAGGCGGAAATGGCAACCGCTGTGAGTATATGCATACAAATATATTATACACTTAAGACATATTTATTTGATCTTCAATAAATCATATTGAGAATTATAGAATGACGAATAGAATTTTTAAGACCTTTATGTTTATTTTAAACAGATGGATCTACCTGCTGGTCTTACGAATTTAGGAAATACATGTTACATGAACGCAACTGTACAATGTCTGCATGCTGTGCCCGAGCTGCGTGCGGCTCTTGATAAATACAGAGTTGACAATGATGACGCGGGCTCAATGTCTTCTGCTATGACTTCAGCTATGAAATTTTTATTCAAACAAATGGAACGTGGGAGTACAGTGACACCTATAATTTTATTGCAAACGTTGCATCGTGCATCACCCCAATTTTCTCAAGTAGGAGAGAATGGAACCTATCGCCAGCAAGACGCTAACGAATGTTGGTCTGAATTGCTTAAAATGTTGCAACAGAAAATTCCGGCTTTCAATGATAAAGCAAATGAAGGAAATAACGTAAAAAAATATAAGTAATATTTAGAACTTCAGAAACTTTAAAGACTTTTTGCTGAAATACATCTTTTTAGTTCATTTATAGAACAATATTTTGGAGGATCCTTTGAAGTTAAAATGAGTTGTACTGAAGCTGAAGACGAGGAACCAACTACAGCTAGAGAGAATTTTCTACAACTTAGTTGCTTCATTTCAACGGAAGTAAAGTATATGCATAGCGGTTTGAAATCGGTATATTTACTTCAAGTTTTACCCTTATATAAACACATAAATATGTTTAAAAAATTACTTCTATATTTAGAAAATGAAGGAACAGTTGGTAAAACGGTCAGAAACATTGGGTCGAGATGCTAATTATATAAGAACGGTGAGCAGATTAATTAAATTTCTTTATATGAAGTAAATAGTTTTCCATTTTTCTAACTGCACTTGTATTCCAAAATATTTTCGTTAAATAGCTTTATCACTATCCTTCTTTTCCAGTCTCTTATAAGTCGCCTCCCCGCATATTTAACAATACAGTTTGTTCGTTTTCAATACAAGGGTAAAGAGGGAATTAACGCTAAGGTTCTGAAAGACATAAAGTTTCCATTAGAGTTTGATGCATTTGAACTATGTACACCGGAACTACAAAATAAACTGTGCCCAATGCGTGCCAAGTTTAAAGAAGCTGAAGATAAAAATTTGGAAAGCAACATTAAAGCGATCGCAACTGAAGACAAGAGCTCCACTACAGAAATGGGAAAAGATGTGGAAACTGAAGACTATTCGTTTGAAAATGATCCGGGCAGTAACAACTCTGGATTCTACACACTGCAGGCTGTTCTGACGCATAAGGGACGATCCAGTTCATCGGGACACTATGTAGGTTGGGTAAAGCACACCGGTGACATTTGGTTCAAATTCGACGACGATGTGGTAACATCTGTAACTACTGAGGATATATTACGTCTCTCAGGTGGTGGAGATTGGCATTGTGCCTATGTTCTTTTATATGGACCAAAATTGCTAAAGAAACAATGTAATTAATGAAATAAATTAATTGAGAAACTGCGATAGATTCCCATATTAGTACTATTTTTCAGTAAAATTAGAAACCAATTCATACTATTCAAGTTGGTTGCCGAGTTGGAAACCACCACGTTTAGTCCTTTACAACCACCGAAGAAATTTTTTTCCTCTAATTTATGGTTTACGTCTTAATGTTTTCCCCACAAATGGAGGAACCTACAGCTTATTCTAAGCTGTTTCGGAACATCAGAAACATATAAAGAGAAACTTTGGTTTTAACAATCAAAAATATACATATGCAGGGAAAATTTGTGTCAAAGCTGACTTATTTCGGCATCAATGCTGTCGCTTAACTGTAGTCTTTTCGTCCAACAAGAATGACGAAAGACAGAATGACGTACACGTATGCAAACGTAAACATCACTTTGTCATTTCGGCTTTAAGATAGTTATGTTAAAATCACTTGCCATTAGGGCATAGTGTAAGTTTTAGTTAATTTAAATTTTCTAGTTCCAGTCGCCTTCGGCAGGGAATGTCAACCCCTCCAAGGGTATTTTTTCAGCAGTTCGGAGGCGCCTTAGTATTTGAATAATAATAAATATTTGTTGATAAACATTAAGTCATCATATCAGTGCCAGTAAAATAACCGTGTTGTGTGAACGGATTCAGGTCAAACTTGAAAGTTTAAATTAATTTTGAATGCTGGTGAATTATTTTCCTAAATACATCGTTTTTAGACTATTAGAATATGTATATATATTTTTTTAAAATGGACCTGCAATTCTCTGGAGCAATAGACTTCCATGCGTCATTACCGTCCACATATTTCATATAATTGTTAAATATTCTTTTCCTACCTCTGCTGAAAGATTCTCAATAGTTTTAAAGTCAGTAGACTGAGCCGGCCAGTTCATGGCCTCATCCCCATTTGAAGCAAACCAACTTTTTGCCAAGTTGCTGGTATACTTGGGGCATCTTACATTCAGTATGCTGTAGGATAGTAGGCTCCATCATTTGGATATACAATTTGACATCCATGTTCTCCTTTTTGAAATATATAGGACCTGTGCCATAGTAGGAGAAGCACCCCCACACATTGATTTTGATCCTGTCATGTTCTACAGTCCGGTAAACGTATATGTGGTCAAATAAAGCATTTTCTGACCTTTGCACATATTGTCGACGTCCCTTAGAACTAAAATTATACAATTTTGGTTTCGTCTTACCATAAAATAATACGGCATTTCCGAACTGACTTAATTAGTATGGCTGAACACCCAAGCATTTTGCAAACAACTTTTAGGTTCTCCCTTCCGATACATTTTTTTTATATTCTAATATTCTAAAAACGATGTATTTACCGATATAATTCTTCCAGCATTCAAAATTACTATAAATTTTCAAGATTGACCTGAATTCGTTCACACAAATTGGCTATTATACTAGCGCTGCTATTTTAAATCACAGTAAAATAGAACCGCGAAACACAAAAAGTAACGGGATTTCATGAATATGGTAACTACATCAGAAATTAATTTAAATGCTGGGTGGTAGTATTCGGGCCTACATTCTGGCATTGGCAAATTTAAATGACGGGTATTATTTAAACATAAGAAAATCATTACATAAATTTCCATTAGCCATTGCTATTATTACGCTCACAGCTGTATTTACTAGCAGACCCAGCAGCTGGACCTTCACGTTGTATTTGCGTTCTCTGCTGTTTTGACAGTCGATAGAAGAAGAAAACACCTAAGCAACCAACTTCACTTTTTCTGAATTTGACCTGCGCAGGCCCTAATACAGTAATCAGTAATGTTTCAGAATAACATTTGTGAAAAAAGCAGAAGATTGATTTAACCATATTTTCGCCGCTAATAGTTATTCATTCGATAATTCTGTATTTAGCTATTTGAAATGTCGCAAGCTGAAAAAATTGATGTTTCTGGAGATGGTGGAGTATTGAAAGAAATTTTGAGGGAAGGACGCGGAACAGAACGCCCAATAATTGGTTGCACGGTTTTCTTGCACTATACTGGAAAATTGCTTGATGGTACCGTATTTGATACGACTATAGGACGCTACCCGTTTGAGTTTGATTTGGGAAAGGGTAAAACTCGGTATCTATCTTTTAATAAATGCAATTCAATAAGCTTTACTTACGTTTGTAGACCAAGTGATAAAGGCTTTCGATGTGGCAGTGGTTACAATGAAAGTAACAGAGAAGTGTTTATTGACTTGTGCCCCTGAATATGCGTATGGTGCCACTGGTAGCCCACCAATCATTGCACCAAATACCACACTACTATTTGAGGTACATAAACACCATATTAATAACAAATTAGTAATAATTTTTAATATGAGTTAAATTTTCTTTAAAGCTGGAAATGCTCGGTTGGAAAGGTGAAGATATAAGCCCAAATGGAGATGAATCCATTGAAAGATTTATTTTAGAACGTAGTGACAGGAAACGATCACCTGTGGCAGGTGCCTTGGTTAAAGGTAAGGTTGCAATCTTCTTTTGATCTGAAATTCAGTGATGGAATTTTTATGCACTCTGACTAAAATATTGCTTTCTTATTCCTTCTAAGTGGAATGCTTTCTACTAACTAGTATGAGTTTTAAAAAATCAAATAACGTCTGCCGATCTATTAATATCATGGATGCTCTTTATAAATTTATTATTCTTAAATCAAATTTCAACTTAGATCATTAACGCCAAATAAACATTTTAAGTACACCGACAGGACTTTCGAGGGGATTAAAGTCGTATTGTCTGGTATTTGAATGATATAGTATGGCAAACCCTAAGTTGAATTTCTATTTCGGGTAGTTAAAGTGACAAAACGCACAAAACTAGGGGCTGGAAATAATGATTTTCATGATCAACAATTAAAGATTAATTCTGAGCGATATTATATATGCTAACAATAAGAATTATTATTGTTTGAGCGCTTTAGAAACTTCGAAAAATAAATATTATCGATTCAACAAAATTATAATTATCAAGAAGTAATATTAATTAGTGATTTTTATTTTATTATTTATAATAATAACGGTCTCTGCACAAATCGGCGAGATATTCTTTGCGAAAGGAAATTAATGAATTAAATAATGTCTAACAATATTTATTTTTACATGGAAGGAATAGAAAAATTATGTTTAGGTAATAAATTGAGTTTAAAAAAATGCCTTATTATTGCCCTGACTGTTTCTTTGTACTTTTTGAATCCTTTGTACTGAAAATCTTTAATATTAATCGTCTTGTAGTTAATCTAATTGGAAAATATAAAGGAAAAACTTTTGAACAGCGCGATGTTGAGTTTGAATTCGGCGAAGGTTGTGATTGTGGGGTTATAGAAGGAGTTGAAATTGCACTGGAAAAAATGTCTGTTGGAGAAACTTCAAAGTAAGTGGGTAATCTAATATATTAAAAATTAATGTTTAAGTTATAAGTTTAATAACGAAATAGGTTTCAAAGTTGTGGCTTTTTATCACTATTTGTGTGTTTACCGAGCGTTTTTTTTTTATGGGGAAAAAGATAAATTTAACTTTGTGGTTTAATTTGTAATTTACCTACTACACGTATTATACATACGCGCTGCTTCTCATGATACCCAAACTTTGACGATATTTCATAATATTGTATAATACATGAAATAAGAAATAAATTTGCTTAATGCAAATTGTTTTATGGTTTTACCTGATATCATAATAATATATATACATGTTTATGTGTATATTTTTAACATTAAACACTTCATAATTTTACGCAATTGTTATTACAAATTATTATAATATTCATTATAGATATTCGACGCATGAATTATCACTAATATTTCTCAATTGTAAATATTGTTTCCATAAACGAGTGTGGTTTAAGGACTTACATATATTAGAAAAAGGGTTTCGAAAAAAATTGAAGTGAAAAACCATATTTAAAAATTGAACTTTAAGTTACAAATGATTTAATTATTATTCTAGAGGCAACCTCAGCCCCGGAGCAGACAATGTCATGCAGTCATTGAGGTGGTTTACCATGTTTACGGGATGAAACTGCTGTTTCGATGAATAGGAATAGATTGAAGGAAGATGTTAGATGTTTTAGTGTTAGATGGCATGCAAAGAAGTGTTTACTGTCGTGGGAGAACTCATTTTAACATACATTAGGCATATCAAGGCCAAGTCTGGATAAATAGGAGTTCAATCAAACACAGTATCCAAATCTCTAATGTGCAAATTTTACGCGGAACTCGCAAGACTTCTTGAGCTTTGGTCGGAAGTGGATGTTGGGAAGAGATTTTATAAAAATGTTGGCAGACTCTCAGTGAATTACGTTCATAATCAGTTCCTACGTCGTACCTTCATAGTTTGATTCTATAATGCTGAACCGAGTTTATTAAATCAAGTACTCCCTTCCCTAGGAAGGAAGGTTCCTACAGTAACTCAGATGTAGATGCTTGCGGCGAGGAAATCGCCGGCAGCATGAAACAGAGTAACGCGTAGTGTACTACGTATGGGTTTTAATGCCTGAACAGGTCTAGTTAAACTCACGGTTAATAACGGCTTGTAAATCGGCTATCGGGAGATTCCATTTTTAACACTAACAAAACGTATGCAATGCAATATTTATCTATTTCATCTACTGCCTCTATTAAAATAACATAGATGATCGTCAAAATCGTCATTTCGTAATTACTTAATAACATTTCATTATATAGATTAAAAATTCGTAGTAAATATGCTTTCGGAAATAAAGGAAACGAAGATTTCAACATTCCACCAAATTCTAAAGTTGAGTACATTGTAAAACTTATTGATTGTGCAAAGGTAAGATTAACTTTTTAAAGCTTTTGTTTATACATAATTATGATTTCGTTTGTGTTTCAGGGTATCGAGGAGTGGAAGTTGACAGAACAGGAGAAACTAGAACATGCCGCGTTGTATAAGATAAAGGGAACAAAGTACTTCTCGAAGCAAAGTTATGTTTTAGCATTAAAAATGTATAAAAAGTGCGCCGATTTTATTTCGGATGTTGGTACGATCTCATTTTCGTTTTTTGATATCGTAAAATAAATATATGTATGTAAGACTAAAAATTCTATAAGTTTTATCAAAAATTGTAAGATATAAATATATGTATGTATGTAAAAAGTAAGTGCAAAAAGTCGTTTCTAATAGCACGAGCTTAAGATCACAAAAACTATTTATAAATCTATTGCATTAAATATTTTAATATTAATTTGCCAAGTAAATTTCCAATATATTTTCAGATAATGATGAATCTAAAAAACTGAAAATTGCAGCAAATAGCAATATTGCTTTATGTTATCAGAAAACCAATGATCACTTTGAAGGGAAGCAGGCGGTAAGTATTTATTTTTCGTATATAGACATACATACATATGTATATAATATTGAAGTAAATTAATCTTATTTGTATTTTTATTGAAACATAGTGCATTGAAGCGTTAAAACTAGATCCCTTAAATATTAAAGCACTTTATCGTCGAGGACAATGTAATTTAGCTACTAATGAGTTTACAGAGGCTCTGGAAGATTTCAGAAAGGTACTTGCGCAAACACAGCAATGTGTTTTTTTTTCATTTTTGCTAAATAGTCATTATGTCATTTAAAGGTTATGGAATTGGAGCCAACAAACAAAGCTGCCATGAATCAAATAAAAATATGTAAACAACGTATTAAGGAAGAAAATGACAAAGAAAAACAAATTTATGCAAATATGTTCAAGAAATTATCTGCCGCTGATAAAGAGGTATAGATATCATTTATATTTCTCATTTTATACTTCGCTTGAGAAAACTATTGTATTTACTAATTAACGTGTACAATTTGTGTTCAAGTTCAGTGGTAGGGTTATGCAAAATTAAAGTTTTGAATGAGTTTAAATTAAGAATACTTGATAGACATACGTTCAAAATAGCAAACAAGCGAGTTACTTTGAATGAAAACTAAAACAAGTTGAAAAATTTTTAATTTTTTTTTTCGAAATTTGAACAAAATAAATCCACTTCAAGTAGCAAAACAATAGTTTAAACCGCCACCGTTTTCCAATACTTGTAAAAATGAAAACTCGGAGAAACGCGTTTCTAAGTTCTACTCCATTATTCGAGCCTCGACCATTAAAACTAGCTTTTAAAATATTTCGAATTGATCACTGAAATTTTGAAGATATATTCTTTTAGAAGAAAATCTCACTACGCCCCTGTTATGTAGATCAAAGCGAGCTTTCGGGGATATTCGAAATTAAAACACAAATGAAAAACGAAATTCTTAATGAAACCAAAGTTAACATTCGAAATTGCTATTGTGGAGTTCTTTCTATATGAAACATTATTACGCATAAAGTAATTTTAGTCGATAAAATTTCCAAAAACTTTTGAATTCAATCCAACCGCTGAATATATTGATATTTGAATACCTAGTCAGTTAGTTCTGTGAAGAAGATTCCTCTCATTTTGCCAGTTGCTCAAAACACTTGGTGTATTTTACGAAGTTCAGGAGATTAACGATGCCTAGAGAAATCAATAAGGGAAAGTACTGGGAACTGCGCAGTGACAGAGACGTTGTTTGAGAAACAGCCCATCCTCGGTTAGGTCATCGGCACAGCAGATCACTGGTAGCCAAACCACGAACGTTTCGCATATAGTCGAGAAATCTTATAAGCCTTAGTAAAAGTAAAAGTAAAAAAAAGTAAAAGCTTACAGCTACCCATTTTATTTATAATAAAAGGCATCTAGCAAATTATTTTCTTACTTCTGCCGCTGATGAAAAACGGTTTGACATGAATATTTTAATACATCCATTCGTGTATTCAATATTATAGCATCTGCTTCAAAGATAACACCAAAAATAATTAAAAAATCTGTAACCTGAATATTTTATAAATGGCAAGATCAAACACTTCTGAGCAAACACGTTTGGTGTCAAAATTCGAAGCGAAACCACCTATAAAATTTTTTCATCATGGAAATAACTTATAAAGTATATAAAAAATTTTTGACTATAATGATAAAGTTTTATTAACTTGGGAGGGTGTACGTGTTTTTCGATGCACCATAATATTCTTCAATCACTAGAGAAATAACTCTCATTTAAATAGAAAAATAAAACTGCAAGAGATTTAAATGGTAAAACATTCGTTTTGTGTAATCTTCCACTGATTTGAACGCTTTATTTTATCGTTGGCATAAATGCAATAAATTATTCATAATATATCGTTGATGGAATGTAGTAGTCCCGTGGTGAAATCGTAAAATGCTCGGTACCGGCATATTTGTAGTAAATTTGACATCCGGCACACTATTATTTCTTTCAATAAGGGATCTAACAAATAGCACGACGCCTTAATATTTATAAAAAAATTAAGTTTTTACCCTTTCTGTTACTTTTACAAACAGCGCAGAAAAAATACTGCTCAAACCAATCTAGTTTGATAATTATGATTGGACCATGTAGCGGCATAACTGACATTTTTTTTTATTTTTAGGAGAAGCAAAAGTTATGAAAACCAATTCCCACAATTCGTTTCATTATCTTTAATTTTAATTGATACTAGTTATAAATGAAAAAAGTACTAATTTTCACCAAACAAGTATTGGCACACTTCATATAAGCATAAAAAAAATAAAATAAAATAATAAAATATTAACGAAATTGACATTTTGTAGCCAAGACATTTTCATAAAACGACAGCTTCCAGACGCTTTTTCATCAATAAGACCAATTTTTGTGTGGTTTCTGCCCCAATATTGTGACATTCCTTCATCAGTGCCGGCTTCAAGTCTTTTTTCGTTGGTGTAGTAAAGGGGTAAATCCACAAATGTTCAATTGGGATAGATCTAGGGTTTAGAGCGGATGCGGCAGTGTATGTTTAATGTGGTGTGAAAGCCAAACGCTCCTTTCGTTCACTATTGAAATTAGGGGTTTGCGCTTAGCTACACGTGAGTAAAAGTTAGCTGCATGCAATGCACTCCGGACTGTTTTCGGTCCTTCCCCAACTCTTCCTTCCTTCCTTGGGTTTCTCTTTACTTTTCTTACTATTTGGCAGCGTTCGCGGTCATTTGAAACCTTAGGTCAGCCTGCACATGCTGCGTTTTATAAAGATGAAATCCCCTCAAATCGTTTAACAATGCTTCTGATGGTGTAGCGGCTTCGGTCCCATCATTTCACTCTTTCGGCATATGATTTGACCTGTTTATGTAAATATAAAATTATTTTGCGCTGAAATACGTTAATTTCACTTTCCTCCCTGATTCTTCTGAAAGTTACGCAAAGTCCACTATAATTGAAGACTCTATGTTTCCGGTTTGATTTTTGAAAGAAAATAAAAACGCAATTGATTATGCGGACATAATGGGACTTTAGAAAAAAGTTTCTTGATCAATCACATCTAAGCGAAATAGCCCAGAGAAATTTAAGTGTGCCAATACTTTTGTTTGGTGAAATTTAGTACTTTTTTCATTTATAATTAGTTTTAATTTAACATAAAAGATAATCAAATGAATTGAAGTGAAAAAAGTTGAAAGTTTGTCCCTCTGACTAGCATTTTTTTCCGAATTGAAAATATGTTCATAAGTGGTTAAAAAAAAGATATTAAAGTTGAACTATCTTGCTACGCCAATACTTTAGTTTAACACTGTATGTAGATAATGAACATTTTCTTAAAAATACAAAAATAGTCATTCCGGAAAAATGTCAATTAAGACAGTTTTATTGCATTACTTCAACGATATATTCCGTTAATTCCAAATTTTTATTTATAATTTTTATTCATATTCGAATAGCCAACTCCAAGTACCGAGCCTGACGTTTTAACTAAATGTGGCGAATGGACAGATGAAGATGCCAAGCGTGAAGTCGACCTGGCTTTCGAAAGAGATAATAATATTGTTATGATCTAATTCTATTACTACATATTCTAAAAACAATTATTGTAGTTAAATAAACATAAAAATTAATTAGTGAAGATACATTTATTTTGAAATTTTTTTAACTTTATGGTGGTCGCTCTAGAAACATAAAAAGAGTTGTTTCCGTTCCATAGACTGCTTCCATAGCAATAAACATGTAAAATTCTGGTTGTTGCACTGCTTACGAAGTTATGCTACCATAATAACTTTCATTTAAAGTACATTATACTAAATATTCAGTTAAAGGCATGAATTTAAAATCATTTTTTAAATGATAAATATATTAGTTAATTAAATTATTTCTTCTAATAATTTAAACTGCGGAATAACTTCGTTTTGTCGCAGCCAAAGAGGACTAACTAATATTTGGGATTTTATATATTCGGAAGCCTTAAAGCATCGAGAGCTGCAGTATTTTTTACGATCCGTTATATCGTAAACCTTATTTATAGCTGTTGATATTTGATACTTCTTAGACGGTATGCTAAAAAATAAACAATGTTTAATCTTTGTTAATACATATATTGTTGATAATTACTTTTCTAATATATTTCGACATAGAGGATAACCACATAACAGAAGAATGTGCCGTTCGTCTACAACATCATCATAGTGGCTCTGATTGATATCTTTCAACTTTCAAATAGAATTTTTAATATTAGAATGAATGAATAAATTTAAGAATTATAAATCACAATAACTATTATTCTTTAGATATATTAACTATAAGTGTAATTGATATTTACTAACATGCATCAAGAAATAATTCTTGTCAATATTTCGTTCCAAGAGGGACTCTACTATGGCTTGCGCTTTTGAATTGCATTCTCTTTTCTTTTGAATAACCTTAAGAAGTTCCTCTTCACTAAACTCGAAAGGATAGAAGAGTTTATTAAAACAAACTTATTTCATGGTTTCAGTTGAAGTTGTTTACCTTATTTTATGGCGATTTGTTTTCTGCATGTTGTTTAATAATGATGTGTTGGTAAAACGTAAATTAATCGATATGAAGAGAAATTATCGATGAAAAAGGAAACATATTCATCCCGCACGCACTCTTTACGAAAGTTGATATAGTTTTGGAAAAAAAAATTATATGTATGTATGTGTATTAGATAGGTATTCAACAAATGAAAATAAAAAACTAATAAATTTCAAAGGCCTGGAAAGTCATGTTGGTGTAAAAGCACAGTATGATACAACTTACAGTTTTTTTTATTGTTGGCCTATCTGTGACTGTCAGTTCGGTTAGACGTATTGATAAGCTCAGCGAAATGGTAATAATCGGACTGTCCAGGTAGAATTTCTCATTAATTTTTAGCGCACCTGGCACATGCGTATTTCAGAAAATATTTAGTTAACTTCCGAAAAGTTTCAGTATTTGTATTAATTCTTTTTCCATTCTTTCATCGCTCCCCTTTCTCTTCGAAGCCGAAAATACAGCCTTAAGCTAAGGCAGTGAATTTGACACCGGTTGACTTAAACTGGGTTAGATCGCCGAAAGGGTGACAGCCCTTGGCAGGAAAAAATCCGGGTCAACTCCAGTTAAAGAAGTTACAGTCCTGCCAAAACACCGGCCTTATAACCGCGATAGGAAACCTTCTGATCATAACTTACACTGAGAAGCAGCTATGCTACTTTTAAGAAGCTTGCTGTGCAAACATTTTTGTAGGGACTTTCCCGCAGAGGAGTATTAATTAACTAATACATATATACGAAATTTAATTTTGAACAAACAAATTATTCGCCGCATAGTGAACAGTGTTAACCTTACCTTATTTATAAAATTATCGGTCGGCAATAATATTTGTACAACAATAAAAATAAATAAAGTAAACAGTCAGGATGGTTTGTGATCGTTGTGAAGCAAAATTATCTAAAATTGCAACACCAGATCCTTGGAAAGCAGATTCAGGAAAGCGAAAAATTAATGAAAACAAATTTTTGTCAACCGCAAGAGATAGGCATAATCCGATTGCAAAGAGCCTAGCTCCTTGTAGGTAGGTAAAATGGTATTTACTAATTTTTAAGTTTTTTACTGAAGCTCATCCAACATAAAACTAAGAGTAGATATGTCGAATCTGTACAGTTCATGTTTTTATGTATAAAGCCTATTGAAATCTCGTCTTGTTTTCGTAAATTACCAAACCACACATTTCTGAATTTTGGTTGAAATTTTAGTAATAATACTTACAGATGGTTGCTTCTCCAGAATAGACAAAATTATTTGCAACCAAAGTGCTTGTCCTGATTTATTACTGAATTGTAGCTGCACCTTTGTAACTTAGCGCTGATGTTGTGGTTGTAGCGACTAGGGAAATATTTCATGAGTCGCTCTTATTCTGAGGTATTTAATAACAACTCGAGATTTCTCAGTTTGTTACTTTTATTTAGGGTCCTTCCGTACTGTCCGTCACAGTATTTCCTTTATGCAAACAATTTTTTCCCTTTGGCGACCTTCAGCCAAGCTCCACTAAATAACAATAATCGGACCAAGTATGAGCAGTTAAGACTTCTGTTATATTTTACTTTAAAATGTACGAAGTTAGATATAAATTATTATATTTTAAGTTAGAAGAAGAAAAGTTAGACCCCTTTAATGATTTAATAATAATTTAATTATAATAAACGGCATCTTTTTTTTCTAGGATTTGTCGACAGAAAGTTCATCAGATTGGCTCACATTATTGTCAAGCATGTGCATATAAAAAAGCAATATGTGCTATGTGCGGAAAAAAACTACTTGATACAAAAAATTACAAACAAAGTTCAACGTAAAAACATCCTTTTATTTGCTTATTACTAATATAAATAACAAAACATGTGGATTTAATTATAACGTAATATAATATTAGTACAGATTTTATTAAGAACTAATTGTTTTTTTCTTTTTGTTTGACAATGAATAACTTAAAGATTCCTTGTCAAAATCCAGAGGCATAATACCCAAGTCTCCACTGTAACGGTTTTTTACAATTTGTAAATATTTTTTACCACGAAGCGACGTTAAACGTTTATCTTGTATAATCAGCACATTATCGGCCTCTTGTGTAGCTTTGGCTGTTCCGAATACGGAACTTGTAGTAAGTTCGTCTTCTGCACGTTCCTTTCGTGGATGCATAACTAGTGTTACGTGCACATTATTTTTAGTTGCAAAGGAACGAAAAGCAGTAATTATAGCGTCTTGTTCCCAAAATTTGTCACTTTTCTGCGTCATTGATGTGCCCATCATAAATTGCAGATTATCAATAATAACATGACTTATATCATGTATATATTGTGCGTGCTCAATAGCTTCCATGACAAGCTTAAGGGGCTGCTGACCATGAAATGTCATAAAATATAAAGGATACTTTTCAAACTCACTAGTCCAATATTCGAATTCGTGAAGTTTATCCTCGAGTGAATATCCAACATACTGTCGAAGTAATGTAGCAGCGAGGCGGCAATTTCGAATCTCAAATGAACCCCATAAAGTGGAAACTCCTTGTAAAGCTAAGTCGAGTGAATATTCGCTCATAAAAGTGGTTTTTCCACTGCCAGTAGGACCAGTAAGTATTGTTAATTCTCCCTTTCGATGACCTTTAAGTATCTTATTTAGCGTTGGATAACGTTTCCATTTTACCCCATTGACTTTTTCAATATTTTGTAGCTCACTGAGAATATCATATTTAAGGGCGTTGAAGGTTGTTATAGATTTATGGCACATAGGAGTCGCTTTATTTAAAATATGTTGCAAATTTAATCGCTTTTTATGTGCTTTAGATGGTGCCGGTTCTGATTCTGTCGGACGTATAAAAAAACATCGCTTCTCCTCCAACTTTTTTGAAAAATTCTTTGCTGCATCCCAATTCGCGGTATCGAAGTCGAACCAAAATACAACTTCTTTAAAATTTTCAAGGCAAGGTAGACATTCCTGAGGCAGCGATTTGAGACCATTCGGCAGACAACAAATAGAAGCTGGTAGAAATACATTAAAGAAATTTATGGCTTATCGTTTAAAAATTATACAAAATCCTGTCAAATTATAGTCATTCCGATTTTTTAATTCTTAACAATAATATTGATAAATTTAGTTGTACTTGAAACGATTCATGCCGTCACTATCAAAATTCTTATTATTGTTTACTTACAAGTAACATCAGAAAAGATGTCAACAAAAAATGAGTGAAACTACCTTCTTTTTAGTATTATAATTTAAACTTAGAATCTTTTTCACATTACGAAACTTGACAGATTTTTATATAATATATCATAAATATGTACATTTTATATGTATATTGGTTCAAAATTGTAATCATTAAAAGTACATATTTAACAAATTTATTTTACTAATGTAAAGTAAAATAACCGGTAGAATAGAGAAAAAAGTAATGCAAATTACCTACTGTTATTAAAGCGTTGGAATGATAGAATGATGTAATCCAAAAGATTAGAAACTAGAACCACGCGTGTTGGTTTTTGAAACGGATTGCAAATCAACAATCCAGAGGAGTTGTAGTTTTCTATTGTTTTCTCGGTCTTATCAGACAAATTAAGAATTTTTTCACCGACAACTTTATTTGCCACATTTCTGATTGGAAATCGTATGCAATCTGCACTGGGTTCGTATTGAGCATCCAAATATTCCAAGTCTGATACTTTAAGACCTCTTATTCCCAAACTTTCACAAGCATGTTCCGAAATGTGTTGTAAATTTGTGAATATAGTTTTATATTCTACATCTTTGCACGTTGCATTGCCTTTACATCGCTTCTCATATAAGTCAAGAACATCCGCTACATTTGCCTTCATATTACATTTGGGGCATAAGAAAACACCTACAAATAGTTTGAGTAAAATATTTTTGTGAAAACTATCATTACGCACCCGTTCTTTTATTTACATAGGCATCGTTACTTGAAGTGCTATCGCACAGATGACATTCCACTAGTAAACATGTAGGCCCATCCTTGAAAAGCATACGCTGATTCCTCAAATGCTTTTTGAATTCGATCATAACCTTCGGATCCACACTGTTGTCAACAGTAAGTGGCAAAACAAAATTCTTAACTATGCCATTATTTATCCTGGGGCGCAATCTTCTACATAATAATTTAAACATTTTATGTTAACTAATCTTCATAAAGGAATTTAAATTACAATAAATAACTTAGAGGTAGAAACCCGGTATCACTAGTAGAGATGAAAAACTGTCGATAACTCACAATTTTAAAAACCTTTGAAAATATTTAACCAATATCGAAATACGGTTTTTCAATGGCATCGTGAAATACATGGTTCATCCTCTCAATTACGAATGCGAATTACTTCATTCATACCGCACACAATTTCATAGTTTGCCGTTTCGCTTGTATGTTCCATTTGAAAACGCATGGAAAATTGGAGATTTTAGTAGAGTTAATAAAATCTTCAATTAAATTGTTTATGTCAATGTTGCAGTTTCTTTAAGAACTTCTAATTTTCTTCAATTATTATATATAATATAATACAAATACACAGTCGTCGACTAGCCTTCATCGTGTACGGTACTCTTTCGACTGCGCTCTTATATTTTTTCTAGTTTTCTTTTTACCGATCCTTCGTTACACAAAACCAACTTCACCACAATTAGTTACGCATTTAGTTACACGTGGTCTCCATATATTTTGTGTATTGAAACAAGTGGAGTGTAAAAATGCCTCGCGGGTCTTTCACCTTTGGGGACAATCGGTTCGCCCCGTTGGCAACCAGTTCCTATTAAAAAAAAAAGAAACATCCTTCAACCCCAATCACAGATTTCCTAATTCTACCAAACCCTACAACACCATTACCTAACCCCAAATATCTGATCATATCAGCAGCAAATGATAAAAAGCCTCTATCACATTATTCGTGATGTGCATAGATCTATTTAAGTAATAAGCAGTGATATTGAAATTAAATCAGAGCTAAAAGATGGTAGCTTACTACTCTTAGCCAAAGATAAGAAAACTGCAGACAGATTTATCTCAATTAAAGAAATACCCGGCATATGCCAAGTGAATTGCGAATTTCATGAAAATCTAAGTTCTGTGAAAGGAACAGTTTATGCCCCTTACTTAAATCAATTATCAGATGAAGAAATATCTAAAGAGATTGCTTCCCAAGGTGTCACTAAGGCGTATAAATTCATTAAAAAAACTAAAAACGAAATGTTTCCTAGCGAAGTAGTTTTACTCACTTTCGACCTTTATCGGCTGCTTGAAACCATCAAAATTTCTTGGCGTAAGGAACGATTAAGAGAGTACTTCCCCAACCCAATGCGATGCAAAAACTGCCAACGGCTATTTACTATTCACAACTACCTAAACAATCTTCGCCTTCTTTTCCACTCATTGAACCTTCACCCACATAGACCTCACTTTCTGTTTTTCCTCGCTCACCTCCAAAACTTCCTTGTGTCGTATCGACGACCTCTACGGTAGCGACCACTTCTCTATCCTCTCTAGAATCTCCTCCCTTAGCCCCGCCTCCTACATCAAAGCCAGATTTCGCTTCAAAGCCGATCAAGCCGACTGGAACCGATTCAACGAAATTTGTGTAGTCCAATCTACGCTCTTTCCCATCTCCTCTAACGTAAGCCAAGAATCCTCACGCATACAAAAAATTATCCGTATAGCTGCAAGCAATTCCATTCCCCGATTCTCTTCCAAACCAGCCAAATCGGCACCACGTTGGTGGAACAGTGAACTCAGTTCACTAAGGCAACAAAAACAGCATGCATGGCACGAGTTCAAACATAACCGTTTAGTCACCACTTTAGAGAAATATAAAAATCTGAACGCTCTCTTCCGTCGTAAAGCCAAATCTGCTAAGATTATCTGCTTCCAAAAGTTCATTATCGAAATTTATCCCAATTCTAGTACTAAAAAAAAATTGGTCTGGCATAAGAAGACAAACGGGTTTACTCTCCAATCTCCTTCCTCAAATCCTCCCTTGGCAATCTACTATATCCCCGCGATATGGCCTCGGAATTCGCTTTCACTTCTCCAATATTCCCTCTAACTCAAATTTCCGCCCAGAATTTGCTTACAGCAAACATTCAAATCTTAACACCCCCTATCAACCCCCCTCAAAACTGTCTACATCGGCCAAGTCCTTAGATTCCGAAATATCCACTACCGAAATCCTCTCTGCCCTTTCCCGTGTTAAGGGCAAAACCCCCGGAGTCGATAATATATCACACCCCATCATTAAGCATATCCCTCCCTCCCTACTATCCCTTTTAACCAACCACTATAACAACATCTACAACACCGGGAACTATCCTTGTCAATGGAAGACTAGCGCTATAATACCCATCTTAAAACCTGGCAAGACCCCGGGGAAGTCAGCAGCTACCTCCCAATATCTCTTCTACCTTAATGGTAGAGAAAATCATTACCACGAGACTCTCCTGGTACGCCCAATACCACAATCTTATTCACCGCAACCAATTCGCATTCAAAAAGGGGCAAGGAACATTAGATACTCTTTTGCATCTCGATCATGTCGGGTCTGACGCATTATCCCATAAAAATCATGTTACAATACTTTCGCTGAGCAAATGGAATATACAAATTCATTGAATCATTCCTCTCCACACGCAAAATGACTGTCCTCATATGTAACGTCCGTTCCGATATACTTCCCCTTGATAATGGCACCCCTCAAGGGTCCCCTCCCTCCACCATTCTCTTTACAATTGCATTTAACGAAATAAGCGCTATTTTAGCTGCTTTCTCTCGCGTTAACCATCAAATTTACGCCGATGACCTCGTGTTATTCTCAAAACCTTCAGATCTAACGTTAGTCATGGCTTTCTCAACTCAAATATTAGCTTTGTTATTTAATTGGTCCAAGTTCTCAGGCACGACAATTTCTCCCCTCAAATCTAAACTACTACACATTTGTAAAAAAACATAACTGTAACACTCCTACTATTTACTTTAACAATTTAAATTTAGCGTGTACAGATTGTTTTAAGTTCCTAGGATTAATTCTAGACACTAAGTACTGCTTTAAGCCACACTATCAATACATAAGGAAAAAACAAATATTTATCTAATAAACGCTCCCTCATTGGCCCGGCTCTACTGTTAAACCTAACCAAGTCTATTATCTCATAAATAATTAATTACGGCTTAGAAATATACGGCCATGACTCTAAGAATCACATCAAGATGCTGGCTGCACCTTACCACTCTGCAGCTCGCCGCTCTATTCGCGCATTTCCGACATCTACACCAAAAAACATGGAAGACTGCCTATGTAAACTTTATCCAAAACTTATCATGGGCACCAAGGTCGCATTGAAACAGGATTTTCTATCAGCCTTATCTACAAAACGTTCGCCAAAGGTACGAGGTACAATACGTTCAGTTGCGTGTACAGAGCCCGCTTCCTTGAAGCAACTACCCCCATCAAATCAGCTGGCTGGAAGCTCCTTTTTACGGATGGATCCAAAGCATCTTACACCTCCTTCGCCGCAGTCAGAGAAGATAAAGAACACTTCCTATGGGCTGCTATTTCCATTTTGCTCAATATTCACAGCTGAAGCTACAGCTGTTGAAAACTCACAACTAAATAGAGGGAAATACATAATCTGTACGTCTTTCTTCTTCATGGCGGTAAAAAACCCTTCTAACGCTAAATATTTACATCATAATTGGAATAAGAGACAAATTAATATCCCTCCCTAACAAACTCAAATTAATGTGGATTCCCAGCCACACAGGCATCAGTGGAAACATCGCTGCGGACGAAACCGCTAAGGAAATGATCCTCACTCCTACCATCACCTCTCCATACTTCACAAGAGGCGACATCTACCGACTAATCAAACAAAAAAGAAACACATTATTATCCCTCAACTGGGTAAATTCTAATCATCATTACTCAAGGATTAACCCAAGTCGCGTCAAGCAAGATTTTCCGTCGACCATGTCGACCAATTTAATTACCCCATACATCAGATTTCGCATCGGTCACGGTATCTTAACCAATACACACCTACTGAGCGACAGTCGCCAAAATCAATGTCCCTTCTGTGATTGCGCCGTCAGCATTCATCACCTACTTATCGCCTGTCCCGCGCTGGAAAACTTAAGAACAAACCACTTCAACAACGAAGATCCGGTTCAATTATTAAGAGTACTATCAGCAGCAAACATCTCTAAAATTTATAATTTCCTAAAGGAATCCGATATTCTTCGCCGTATTTAAATAAACCAGTCAAGTCAGCCGAAAGCCGATGTTGCTAGCGCTGTGTACCATAGTTTTCTATAAATTTTTGTTATGCAAGCTTTCATAAATTAATAAATAAATAAATAAATAATACAAATAGTGTTTGGTTTCAAACAAATGTTTGTGTTTTAGTGTTTTCTTTCCTTGCAAACAACGCGACTACTCCTTTCACGCGTGAAATATATACACCCCCGGACAAAGGAGTAATCCACAATTAGCCAAAATCCAAACAAAAAATATGGTCCTATTTGCATTGCGATGTCCTACATGAAACTAGTTTTGAAATTATCCCAAAAAATAGTCCACGGAGTACTTCTACCTTTCTCTCGAAAACTCTCAAAGCCGACTCATCAGCTGCTGACATCGACCACGCCTCTGCGCCATAGAGTAAGACGGGTACGTTGAGCGACTTGTAGAGTTTGGTTTTCGTTCGCCGAGAGAGGACTTTACTTTTCAATTGCCCACTTACACCTACACCTGTTGGCAAGAGTTATTTGGCGTTGGATTTCAATCCTGACATTACTGTTGGTGCTGATGCTGGTTCCTAGATAGACGAGCTTTTATACGACTACAAAGTTATGACTGTCAACAGTGACGTGGGAGCTAAGTCGTGAATGCGATGACTGTTTGTTTGACGACAGGAGATATTTTGTTTTGTACTGGTTCACTACCAGACCCATAGGCCTCGCTTCTTTATCAAGCTTGGAAAAAGCAGATCTAACGGCGCTAACGGCCGATAATGTAAATATCATCTGCATATGCCAGTAATTGTACACCCTTATAGAAGATTGTACCTTCTCTATTTAGCTCTGCAGATCTTATTATTTTCTCCAGCATCAAATAGAAGAAATCACACGACAAGGAGTCACCCTGTCTGAAACCTCGCGTGGTATCGAACGGCTCGGAGAGTTCCTTCCCAATTTTGACTGCGTTTCTGGTGTTGTCTAGCCTCAGATTACACAGCCATATAAGTTTTGCGGGGATACCAAATTCAGACATAGCGGCATAAAGGCAGCTCACACAAAACGCTCGGTAGGACCTTATATGCGATGTTAAGGGAGTTTATCCGACGATAGCTGCCGCAGACTAAGGGATCGCCCTTTTTGTGGATTGGACAGAGTACACTTAGGTTCCAATCGTCGGCCATGCTTTCATCGGACATATTTTGCAAACAAACTGATGCATGCACTTTTTC